GAACCATTTAAACCATTTGAACAATTAATGGGCGTTTTACCGGCTGGCAGGTAAATGAATTACTTTTTAATCACAATTTTGCTTTTGTTTTGAATGTTTAAAAACGTTGCATTCGTTAATAAATTCATATTTCTTTAATATAGTAAAGAACATTTGCCTGTGCCATTTCATAAACTGATGACTAGTCAAGACAGTGAAATAATTGATTTCTATCCTAATGATTTCACTATCGATCTTAACGGGAAAAGATATGCTTGGCAAGGTGCATAATGGATATAAATTCTTTAAATATTGAATGATATACTAATATATTACTACTTTTCTCCTAGGTGTCGTATTACTCCCATTCATCGAAGAATCGCGTTTATTGAAAGCTGTAGAGTCAGTATATCCTCATCTGGAGGCAGATGAAATTGCACGAAATGCTCTAGGTTCTGAGATTTTATGCTTTAGTAATAAGCATAAATTGTATGAAGAATTGTGCGTATTGTATTCTCTGAGAAGCAACGAAAAGGTAATTTATGTTTCATATGATAATTAAATTGCTATTGGTTATTACTAAATATATAATAAAATATATATATAGCCTGTCGCATTAGATCCTATGATCAGCGATAAGTTGGTCGGATTTGTTACACGTGATCCAAATTGTATACCTGATAGTACTTTCTGTACTCCTTTGTCAGGAAAAAATACCCATGACATTGTTAATGATAAGTCACTAAGGTATGATTAATATTTAATTATTTTAGTGATTGAAATCTATTAACTCACTGCCAAACTGCTCTATCATTAGTGTTACGTATTACCTTCCAGCGAAAACAAGTAGCCATAAGTCTATTCTTTTAAGAAATGTTAAATTGGATCCACCAATGTTGACAAGAGAGGATTACGATTTTAGAAGGGGTGGTGGACGAGGAAGAGGCAGAGGCAGAGGCGGTGGTTCTCCAAGAGGTGGCCATTCTTACTACCGTGACGGTCCAGTGTTCCGCGGTACCCATGTACCTCGTGACCCATGGTAATGACCCGAATCATGAATCAATTTTTTATGGTGCATGTAGCCACCTAGAACCAACCTTACATTAATTATGTAAAATAAAAATGACTATTATTATTATAATAAAAAAATTCTTCTGTAAATTAATTAAGCTTTATATTATATTATTACAGAAAGATTTTTTTCTTAGTTTATTCAAGCCAAAGTTATTAGCCAAAATATCTAATATATCTTAAATTTTTTTTAAAATTTTTTATTATGCTAAAATTTAATTGGCTAACTTTTATGTAACACTAAATTTTTTATAATAAAAATTTTTAAAATTTTGGCTACTTGTAGGCTCATAGACAGAAGTTCATCTGATTGGCTAATAAATTTAATTTAATTTTACATTATTTATACAGTTTAAAGAAGTACTTTTTAGAAAAAATAAAACTATGAAAAATAAACAAAAAGAAAGTTTTATTAGGGCTGTAGAACTTTACTATTAAAAATAATCTAATTCAATTCTGGTTTTAGAGAAGTTAGCATAATAATAGCCTATTTTTAAAAAGTTACTACAGTATAACCTGTCAAAACCAATGTACATGGTGGACCAAATTTGTATCAGTTTTGACAGGTTATCAGGTTTGAAGGATAAAATTACTATATTTAATTAAGAGATGGTAGATCAATTTTTTATCAGTTTTGACAGGTTATATTATATTATACTAACTTTTCTAAAACCAAAATTAAATTAGATTATTTTTAATAGTAAGGTTCTACAACTCTAATAAAATCTTTTTTATCACAGGTTGAATCAATGAATAACGGGTACATATTGGGAGACAAATCTTCCGATATGTACCCATTATTCTACTATAGATCTGCCAAATAACTGTAACATATCGATAGCATATTGGTAGCATATAGGTTAGATATCGGGAGGTAGATCGATAATGGTAACATAATAGTAACATACTGGGACA